AATGAGGTAACTCCCCTCGTTTAAGAGAAGAAACCAGTAGGACACCGTGCCCGCTGAGTTTTTTGGTCTTCGTTGGGAAAAAATCGACGACGGAAGCGAATTCGATTATCCGTGACCCAAATGTAGCAGTCAAGTTCGCTCGACAGATTTTTCTGTCCAAAGTTCAGCAGTCCATGGTCAACCAGGCTAATTATGAAGTTTTTCGGTAAGGCGCCCATGGAGCAATAAAGGGTTTGTATACCTCTTATGAAATCGGCATGCGTCTTCGTGCTGCGCAAAAAGAGATAGAGCAAAAGCACGCTTGCATTCGGAGCTTGCAAGCCCGCGCAGAGAAGGCCGAAAGTGAGTTGAAGAAAGCTAACACCTTTGAGACTCAATCGGCGAATCAAGTGAATCCGATTGTCGTGAAATGAGTAAAATGATGAATTTTTGATCACATGATTGCCAACCGAGAAACGGTGAGTATGTTCTCTATAGAAGTTGTGAAGACCAGGTCCTATGAAAGAGGCTTCCATAACAGCCAAAAAATTGGAATAGAGAAGACGAAGGAAAAACTAGCCAAGGAAGTTTGTCGATGCGAAAATCACGGATTTAAGCATGGATGGATCAAGGCTCTCCAAGCCGTGGGTGTTGATCCGGTGTCACCTTTATATCAGAGTTATACTTTTTTGTTCGAGGCTTTCGATGTCGAGAAGATTGATAACGAGGATGGAGCCGAATAATTTTTATGTACATTGTTCCGTTTTTATGTAAAGCATGTACTCACGATCTATTTAATAAAACATTTTGTTTTGAATGTCTATATGTTATTTCAGTCAATGCTTGTAAATTAGGTTATGACCATCTACTATTTTACGTCAATCGCGTTAGCGCTTGTCAATCGCAATATCCATGAAAGAAGCTTCGAATTCGGAGGTTTATTCGGCCCAAACATGTCGTTCACACATGAGGCTCCAAATTTGAAGGCTTTTTGTGTTAGCCCAACCCAATTTCCGTGAAGGCCACTCCGAATTCGGAGGCTTATTTCGGCCTAAACGGGTCGTTCATGGATGGGGCTCTGAGTTCGGAGGCTTTTTGTGTTTGGCCAATCGTGATTTCCACGAAGGGCACTCCGCATTCAGAGGCTTATTCGGCCCAAACGTGACATTAACTGATGGGGCTCCGAATTCGGAGGCTGTTTGTGTTGGCCTATCGTGATTTCCACGAAGGGCGCTCCGAATTCGAAGGCTTATTTGGCCCAAACATGTCATTAACGGATGGGGCTCCGAATTCAGAGGCTTTTTGTGTTGGTCAATCGTGATTTCCACGAAGGGCACTCCGAATTCGGAGGCTTATTCGGCCCAAACGTGTCATTCACGGATGGGGCTCCGAATTCGGAGGCTTTTTGTGTTGGCAATCGTGATTTTCACGAAGGGCGCTCCGAATTCGGAGGCTTTTTGACAACCATAACTCACTGGGTAGGAAAAAAAAAAACATTGTATTAAAAAAAGAAAGATGCACACGGCGTAAATTCAAAACAAGCTGTTGTGCCGTACAAGTTAGCTTAATGATAAAATTTGCGCAAGTGTGTGGAATTCCACAGACGCAGCAAACTTCTTCCATCCATGTCTTTGAGCCGATATGCCCCTGTCCCTGCGATTGAGTCAATCTGAAAGGGGCCGTCCCAGTTAGGACCTAATTTTCCGTCAGTGGGATTCCTAGTAGCGGGAAGCACTTTTTTGAGGACCAATTCTCCTGGTGTATAATGGCGTAGCTGAACACGTTGATTATTCGATTTAGCAAGCTGTTAGTGGTACCGTGCCATGGAAGCAAAGGCACGGTCTCGGCGTTCTTCAATCAGAGTCAAGTCCAAGGCCAACATCATGTCATTTTGGCCCATGTCAAAAACCTTCGATTTCAAGTTTGGAAGGCCGATCTCCAGGGAGATGATTGCCTGGGTTTCGAAGCACAGAGCAAACGGCGTTTCCCCAGTGACCTTGGAGTAGTGTGATGAGCCCACAGCACGCTGGGTAACTCTTCGACCCATCTGCCTTTAGCTTTCTCCAACATTTTCTTGACGCAGTCCAAAATAACCTTGTTGGTGGCCTCCGCTTAACCATTGCTTTAGGGGTATGCCGGCGAGGAAAGTAGGGTCGGATACCATAAGTGTTGCACAATTCTCGATACACGCCACAATCAAACTGGGTACCATGATCTGAAACAAGCGCTCGTGGTATGCCAAATCTCGTTATGATGTTTTTCCATACAAAACGCTTAACGTCGGAATCTCGAATATGTGTTAGTGTCTCCACTTCAACCTATTTTGTGAAATAATCCATCGCAACAATTAGGAATCGCCTGTTGCCTGGGGCTCGTGGTAATGGTCCAACAATATCAAGCCCCCATTGAGCGAATGGCCAAGGACTAGTGATAGAGCTTAACTCCTCGGCAGACAGATGAGTTAAGGAGGAAAACTTCTAGCATTGCACACATTTCTTGACATAACACTTGGCATATGTTCGCATAGTCAGCCAATAGTACCCATGTGTTACGGCTTGATGGGCCAGAGAACGTCCGCCCTAATAGGCACCACAACTGCCTTAATGTATTTCAGGCAAAAGTTCCTCGACTTTATCCGGGTGAACACATTCTAAGTATGGCCCAGAGAGAGATTTTTTGTAAAGTTTCCCCTGCAGATCCAAGTAGTATCGGAGGGCTTTGTTTCGCAGTTTGTGTGCTTCTTTCTTATCCATCAGGAGCTCCTCTGAAGATAGGAATGCGGCGATAGGGTCCATTCAACTTGGACCCGGTTCAATAACGTTGATCTGAACTGATTCTGAAGAGGCAATGCTCAGCTCAGGGATGAACCCTACTTCGATTGTCCACTTAATTTCTGAGTTGATGGTAGAGGCTAAGCAAGCTAGGGCGTCTATATGCGTGTTCTGATCCCGGGTTATTTGATTTAGTTTATGGTGATCAAATTTCGCGAGCAAAGAATTCGTCGTTTTCATATAGGCTACTATGCGGTCATTTTTGGCTGCATATTCCCTTTTCAACTAGTTGATTACTAGCTTTGAGTCACAGAAAACAAGCAGATGCCGCGTACCGAGGTGAAGTGCATTCCGTAGGCCGGTTAATAGTGCTTCGTATTCGGCTTCATTGTTCGATACATCGAAGCCCAGTTTGATGGCCTGTTTGATTATTGCTCCTTCGGGGGTCATGATTACTACGCCAGCCCCACTGCCACGTTGGTTGGATGACCCGTTGCAATACATCTACCAAATGTCGCCAACATACATTCTTTAGTTGGGCTTAGTTTGTACTTGATCAGACTTAAAGTCGGTGAGAGATCCTGTGAATTCGGCTACAAAGTTGCCGAGAACTTGCCCCTTTATGGAAGTTATGGGTAAAAACTGGATATCATACTGGCCGAGTTCCAGAGCCCATTTCGAAACGCTCCCGATACTTCCGCACTGCGGAGCACTGACCGGAGGGGATAGTCCGTTAGTACCCCAATGGTATGCTCCTAAAAGTAATGCATCAGTTTTCTTGCAGCCATGACGAGAGCAAGGATAAGCTTTTCCATTGGAAGGTAACGTGTTTCGATGTCGGCCATTGCTTTGCTCACATAGTAAACTGGTCACTACTCCCCAAGTTCTTCCCTTAACAATACAACGCTAACCACCCAGTCGGATACCGCCAGATACAAAATAAGGGGATCTTCTACCGTAGGTGTTGCCAAAAGTGGTACTGATCGGAGATAAGACTTCAAGCCATCCAAAGCAGCCTAGCATTCGGGGGTCCATTCAAATGCTCTGCCTTGTTGAAGTGTGTGAAAGAATTGTCAACAGCGATCTGTGGAACGGCTAATAAACCTGTTGAGTGCAGCGGCCATTCCCATCAGCTTCTGAACCTCTTTGACTGACCGAGGGGAGCCAAGCTCTAAAATTATTGTTATTTGCCACGAGTTGGCTTCGATTTCATGGTTTTTAACAATGTAGCCAAGGAATTTGCCGAATCCGATGCCGAATGCACACTTTGAGGCGTTCAATTTCATTTTGTACTTTCAAATGATGCCAAATGTCTCTGCCAAATCGGCTAGGTAAGAGTGCTTTTCCTTAGATTTGACCAACATATCGTCGATGTATACTTCCATGGTACGGCTGAGTTGTTCCTTGAACATGGCAGTCACTAGTTTTTGATAAGTTGCCCCTGCATTCTTGAGCCCAAAAGGCATGACCTTGTAGCAATAGGTTCCTCTTGGAGTGAGGAGTACGGTTTTTTCTTGATCCTTCGAATGCGTGGCAATTTGATGATAGCCCCTATAGGCATCCAAGAAGCTCATGCGTTGATGATGTGCCGTTGCATCTACGAGTTGGTCTATTCTGGGCAAGGAAAAACAGTCCTTGGGACAAGCTTTATTTAAGTGATTTGACCACCATATCGTCGATGTATACTTCCATGGTACGGCCGAGTTGTTGCTTGAACATGGCAGTCACTAGTCTTTGATAAGTTGCCCTCGCATTCTTCAGCCCAAAAGGCATGACCTTGTAGCAATAAGTTCCTCTTAGAGTGAGGAATGCGGTTTTTTCTTGATCCTTCGGATGCATGGCAATTTGATGATAGCCCCTGTAGGCATCCAAGAAGCTCATGCGTTGATGATGTGCCGTTGCATCTACGAGTTGGTCTATTCTGGGCAAGGAAAAACAATCCTTGGGACAAGCTTTATTTAAGTCCGTGAAATTCACACAAACACGTCAAGAGCCATTCTTTTTCTTCTTTACAACCATAGTATTGGACAACCATGTAGGATAGGTTACTTCGCAAATCGTCCCGGCGTCAAGTAACCGATCTACTTCTTCAACAACAGCCGAAGTATGCTCTGCGACTGACCGCTGACTTCTCTGAATAATTGGCTTACATTTTGGATCAACGTTTAAGCGGTGTTGGGCCACTCTTGGCATCCCGTATGGGGACCATGCAAACATATCAATATTGCCGAGTAAGAAGGATACCAACTCCTATCTTTCAACTTTATCCAAGGAAGCGTTGATCATAAAGAACTTGTCAGGACTTCCGTTAATTTCGACCCGATCCAGGGCTTCAGTTGCCTTTTCACTTGGGATCTTCCCAACATCTTCGAGGCTCTTCCTATCCGGTACCTCAATTGAATGCACTTCCAACTCCCTTGGTCTTTTTACAGTAAGAAGATGGCATGCTTGTGCCGATTTCTGAGAGCCATGAATTTGTTCGATACCGCACTCAGTCGGAAAACGAAATAGTTGATGATAGGTGCTTGGCACAGCTTGCATTGTATGTAACCAAGTTCTGCCCATGATGAGATTATACGGCGAGGAAAGCTTGACAACCAGAAATTCTACATCTACTGATCTGGTGCTGGCCAGTACTGGTAGTGTAATTTTGCCCAAAGGATACTCTGGGTTAGCATTGAAGCCGAATAACGGGTAATCAGACGGAGACAGGTCCAAATCGGTGAGGCCAAGTTTGATGAAAGTTTTGTAATACATTATTTCTGAAGTGCTACCCCGGTCAATGAGAACACTCTCAATGGTGAATCTGTTTACGTGTAGCTCGATGACGAGGGGATCAGTGTGGGGGTGAGTTACTCCAACTAAGTCACTATCATCGAAACTAATCCTTCCAGTGTCATGGGGCCGTTTCGCTAGCGTCATTGAGCTATGGGAGCTAGACTGCAACTGAATTGTATGTACCTCGGATGATGCCGTCAAGCTGTATATCATATGAATTACACCAAGAGGAGGTGACTCCGGCCATAGAGCTACTGTATTTGTTGAATTATTCTTTCTGACGTGTTGTGTAAGACAGCCGTCTTGCACCAATTCTTCCAGGTGATCCTTTAACGCATAACAACTATCGGTGTCGTGACCATGGTCTTTATGATACTCACACCGCTTATCCTGTCTTCTCGCATCAGGAGGTCCCGTCATCTTGGGCAACCACTTGAAGAACGAAAGGTGTTGAACTTTCGATAGAATCTTACTGATCGGCTCTATTAGCTCCGTGTATTTCTTGCCTGAGCGCCTTGTGCGCCTGTTATCCATTTGATACTGTTCATTAGCTCGTTGTGAACATTGGTTGTTTGATCAGCGCGAGTCACTCCTTTTGTCTCGTTTAGCTTGATTCCGCCACTCGGAGCTTCTTGATGGCACGACGCTAATCGGGTGAACAATTTTCGACGTGGCCGTCTCAATAGCTTTACGTCTGGCTTTGACCTTGTCACGACCCAAACCCGGCCCTATGGGTTTAGCACCGTAACCGGCCAGTAATCCGAGATTACCGAAGGCCTGCAGAACAGTAGTACAGTAAAACAGAGTACAGGGCCTGGCGGAAGCCAAAACAGTAAATAAACAATGCTCAATGAGCTGTGACAGTCTATATGCAAAAGGACTTTTCATACATTTATACATAACCAGTACAGAACAGTATGCACAATATATACAATCAGTATTTCAGTTGTTCAGTACAGTAAACAGTCGTATGTGGTACATCCATTAGCATATCAGTAAACAGTAGGTCTTAAAGACCGAACAATAGTGATGGCCATCAGTCAGTAAACAGTAGTGGCTCCACGAGGGAACCGACAGAGATCTCTGTAACAGTAGCAGTAAATAGTAGGTGCTAAGGATGCCACAGTACAGTTCAGAAATAAAGGACATACATTCATTCAGTAATACCAGTTCAGTAAACAGTTCAATTCAGTATTCAAAGATGATCAGTTGAACATATCTTTACACAATTGTTACTCACAGAGTTTGGGCTACAGTATGCTAGAGCGTGTCTCCCCAGTCGCCAACCCTACACAGTTCACAGGTTGAACACACACTAAGCTACACAGTTGGGAAAGATAACAACTTAATCCCTAATTTGCCTCGGTGTGTTCTACATCTGTCCTCAACAAGATGTCTTAAACTAGGCCTAAGAATGCCTAGCATGGAATGAGGATGCAAAGATGTGATCAAAAGACTGTTTCAAGATTTTCAGAAAAACAGAGTCCCGCTCGAGCGCAGGTTTCCCCGCTCGAGCGGTCATGCAACAAAGGTACACGCTCGAGCGTCAACTTTCCCGCTCGAGCGTACTGTAAAAGTACTGGATGGGTGAAATCTCCGCTCGACGCCCTAATACTCCGCTCGAGCGGACTGTAAAACAGAGGTACTGGATGCTCGAATTCCACGCTCGAGCGGCCCTTCCCCCGCTCGAGCCGAAGTGCAAAATCTGGGAATTCCAGATTGCACCTCCAAGCTCCAACACACATTCAAATGCATCAAAACCAATCCTCTTGGGCCCATTTTCTGGAAAACATTTATGAACACATAGAATATCATAGTTTAAAGCTCAATTTTGAGAAATCAAGGCCCAAGGGTGTTTAATTGAAACCCAATTTCAAACCATTTTTCAAGAACAATATGAACATGCAAACATGCATGAATTCAAATCATTTTGAAGTTCCAAATTGATGCTCTAAGGAGCCAATTGTTTCCAAAACATGATGAAATTATGGACTTGAACATAATTGTGAACATGCATGCAATATTTTGCCATGAACTCAACTCAAACTCCAACAACACTAACATGCATGCAAGAAATGAGCTTCAATTCACCATTAATGAACCAATTCAAACATCTACAATTCAAACATAGCTCTATAATTAGGCATGAACCATGCAAGAACTAGCTCAATGACATCAATAAGAAGATGAGTTTCCTACCTTAGTCTTGTATTCAAGGTTTAGGAGCTCAAATATGAAATCTACACTTCAATTCTCCAAGTTGTCCAAGCCAAACTCTCAAGAATTACACAAACTCTCACTCTCTCCCTCTCTAAGGTCGGCTAGAACAAGAGATATGGACTGATGAAATATTTTGATCAAGTGTAATGAACTCAAAGGTGTATAAGCTAGTGGCCCACTAAGGCTAATTGGGTAAATAAGTCAAACTTCAGCAATTAACTTATTTTACTCTAATTTAATCATACCTAATCAGTTTTCAGATAAAAACACTATAAAATCACATTAATTATGATGATCATAAAACACCAATCGGTTTCTAATTCGGCCGTCGATAAGGCCTTCAATGAGCAGTTTAAACACAAGACATGAACAGATCAAACAGACAGTCAACAGATAAAATGCAATTCAAACAGATGTATTCATCCAATTCAGTTTCAATCTCGGTCAGTCAGTTCAGTACTTTTAATCAGTCTAATTATCAGTCATAATCAATTCAGTTTAACGGTAATCAATGGTTATCGGTGATCAATCAGTCATTATTCGGTAAACAGTATGAGGGTTGTTACAGACCTGCAGGGCACTGTCTTCCACTTCGTAATATTCTTCGACCTTTTTCATTAACACCCAGACGATTTTAGGGGGCCGTTTGGTTAATGAACTGCGGAGGGGACTATCAGGATGCAATCCCATCTTAAAGGTGGCGATGGCCATAGAGTCATTGCAAGCATCATCTACCAGATTAAAGCACTCCCAATAGCGGGCCGAATATTCACAAAGAGTTTCTCCCGGTTTAATTTGCATGGCCCAGAGAGAATTGGCTTGCTTCGGCTAGACCTCATTAGTGATGAATCTCACCCTGAATGACTTTTGGAGTTGGTGGAAGCTCTTAATCAATGCCGACTCCAGTTTATAGTACCACCTCACGGCCAGTGGTCCCAGACTGCTTGGGAATATTCGACACATGAGGGCTTCGTCATCAGCATGAAGTATCATTGCTTTCTTATAATGATAAATGTGATCAGTGGAGTCTAATTTTTCATCGTAGAGGGTGAACGACGGTGCCTTAAACTTTTTGGGTAGCACAGCCTTTGCAATTCATCACATGAAAGGGTCGTGTTTATCTTCCTCATTCGAATCATCGTTTTTTTCTCATTTATGCTGTACATACGGACTTCTTTCAGATGAGCTGGATACCTCAACGCGTCCTTTGTTTCTGGGCTCCAGGGATGATGAGCCAGAATCACTGTAATTATCGCGTTTCTGAAGTCGATGTCATCGACCATTCTTCTTTCCCAAAGATTGACCCCAGTCTTAGCATGCGGCCTGCTGAGATTTTGCCACCTCCAAGGCCAAATCCTGGCACAAGCGCTTGTTCTCAACCATCATGTTCTCCAGCCACTGCTCATTTTGCTTTGCTTGATCCATAATCGTCTACATTGTCTTATGCACTGAAGTTGAAGGTGTGGTCTAAGCTACTGACTCGAAATTTAAGGCCTGTCGTGCGGCGATGTTCTCCGATCCAAGCATGTCTCTTGGCATAGTTTCGTCAGCGATTATCGGAGGATCTTCTGTTACACCCGCCATAGATGTACTTGAGTATTCCCATAGACGGCGCCAATTGTGGAGATGTGGTTTGGAAATACTCTTGGATCCTGAAGGACGTTAATGATCCTTTGATTGCTACTTGAAGAAAGGATTAACACTACGATCGGGGGTGTCGGAATTAGCACTCTGACGGACAAGTTAGTATATGTTTCTCGTTTGCTTGTGTCTTAAGTTTCTTGGGTTTGTTCTCACATACCTCTCTTTGGTTGATGTTCCTTTATTTATATTCGCTTCTGGGCCCTAGGGTCGGGCCCACTCTTAATCCATCGCATGATTGCTCATTCGACCCTTCTGTCGTATGCCAATTCCCACTCGACTTTTTGTTCAACTGGTTCTATGGCCGATTAATCTATTCGGCTTTGGGATTGTCCAGGATGGAGCCGAATATAATATATATCCTGATTTTCTTCAGATTCATTCGGCTTTCTTACATGTACCGATATTCGACTCCCACAGAGGCAATTGTCAAAAAGTTCAAAACATATTTTTCTCTCATTCAACTCGTGATTCTTCAGCAATTTTACGTCATTGTAGGTCTTTCTTCCTCTATACGAAAATGCACCACACCCCTTGTATTATTTGACCTCCCTAAGAGCATCCACATCAGCCTTAGCAAATTTTGAGTCAAATTATAACCCAAAATTCACTTTTGTATTTTATCTAACCTCTTTTTTATATACACACTCCATCAAACCCTCTATTTTAAAATTCTATTTCATTAAAATATTGTTTTTTATTCTTTTATCTTTTTTAATTTAAATATATGATGGATTAGTCTCAGAAGAGCAACAAACAACAAGCAAACAACAACAACACAATCACACAGGGAGGTAGACCGGTCAGGCCAATTTTGGGATTTTCCTTTTTTGTTACAGGGCCTTTATAGGACATCTGAGAGGACATCTGGGTGGATGACCAGCCATGGCTTTTTGGCCGAGCTTTGTGTAGACACCCCATTTTTGACCGACCTTAAGACTCAGACGTCATCGTCTGTGCACCCAATGATTGTGCATGTTTGTGCTTGTTTTGAGCGCCCGAAGGTCTCGGCCGAGCACCTTGTCTTTGAGCCTCTAAACTCTCTATATTTTGGCCTTGTTTTTGGGCCAAACCTTAGTGCCCCTTGCCTGGATGGAGGAGAGGCCTTATCGGCCACTTTTTCCTCTTGTCGGCCACCTAGAGTGGTCGACGACCATTTTTCTCCTTTTTTAGATATTTTATGTGCCAGCTGTGCCAGCTGTTGGTCACCAAAGCCATCCTTTATACACGTGTATGGAGGGATGGAAACAAGCTTTATGCTTGTATTTCTATATAAGGGGAGGTCCCTCCCCCATTTTGAGGGTTCAGAAATTTGAAAAGCAAATTTTTACCCTCTCTCTCTAGAATTCTCTTTCTCTTCTTGTTTTAGGCCTGAAAGTGAGTTTTCTTCATATATTTGCACACAACCCCTTAACCAAATTAGACTACCTTGTTGTTGAGGTGCTTGAAGGTCTCATTTGGGTTGTTGATTGCTGGTTTTGGCTTAGAAGTTGGCTCTTTGCTGCTGTGCTTCAAGGGTAAGATTCTATCCTCTTTAAAGCTTTACTTAGTTACTTAGTTTGGCCACATTTGCATGCCGTTTTTGGCCAAGTTGTCAACTAAAAAAACCTCTATTTTTAAGTGCTAAAAATGTTGGTTTGAGGACTTTTTGGAGTTAGGGGTGGTCCACCCTCTTTTGTGGCTTGTTTGCCAAGCTTTGTGCCATCTTTTAAAGCTTTTAAAACAATTCTTTTTTGGCCTTTAAACCATTGAATTCCAGAGGAATTTCAGTGGTAGAAAGTTGATTTTGAGGTCCCAAATAGGAGGGGATGGCCACCGCTTCTTGTGTCTACTTTGCATGTGTTGATGGCCCAATAAGTGAGCTTCTATTTCTACCTTTTTGAAGCTTAGTTCAAGCATGTTTTAGGCCTTATTTCAGCATGTTATAGCTCTCATTTTGGCTAGTTGAGTCATTTCTTGCTTGCTTCTTACACTTGTAGTGTAATCATGCTTACTAACTTAACATGCTTGATGTTTTAACCTATTATTCTAACATGTGTTGGCTCCACTCCAGCATGTTTTTGGCCTTTCTTTGACATGCTTAAACCGTGTTTTAAGTGGTCTTAGTCCTTTGAGATTTGCTTTGTATAGCTTTAGTGTAGTTAGCTTCACTAGCTTTGTGTTTTGAGGCCCTTAGCATGCTTTGCTTATGATGTTTGCATGAAATATCATCCTTTGGCATGTAATTTCAGAGCATATACATCTGTCACACTCTCACATATATCACTTTTTAATGGCTTTTGAGAGTTGTGCCTTATGTCTTTCTTGCGAGCCAACATGTGCGCATGATCTTTTACTCTTTTGTGCCTTAATTTCAACATGTTTAGGCCATTGATTTGGCATGTTTTAGGTTTGTCCATAGCTGGCTTGATCATTTGAGCATTGTATTGCATGCTTATAGTGTTGTGTCCTTCACTAGTTTCAATGTTTTGGCTCTTAACATGTTGAACATGAGTTGTTTGCATGTTATAGTCTTATTTGCCATGCCATTTCAACACTAAAAACATCTGCAACCTCCCCCCATTTCTTCATTTTTCAATTTGATTTGAGGGTTGTTTGGCCTTGAGGTTGTGCTTACGCATGAAGTAGGGTTTGTGCTCAAATGGCTTCAACCCTCTTTTGAGGGTTCCTCCTAGTCAAAGGCATAATCCCTCTCATGTCCTAAATCACCCTTTTGGTTGACCCCTCTCATTAGAGGACAATCACTTGGACTTAATCGGTTAAGGAATGGCTTGGTAATGTAAAATATATAAACAAAATTGAATCAAGTAAAACTTATGCAAGATAAGCATTTGTGTTGCATTGCATGTGTTTGGATCGGACGTTAATCCAAACACAAGAAATGTGGGACGTTTCATACTCAAAATGATGAAACGCATCACATTTCTTGGTCGTCAACACCTTTGATTATACATGATAAGGTGGAGGGATTTGTGTATTGTTTGTGCATTCACTAAGCTTGTACGAGCTTGGTTTTTAGGCCATCATGCATTAAGATGCCTGATTGGTGGCTTGAGAGCCGAGTGCCACTCTCATTTGAGCTTGAGACATGATAAGGAGGTGGCAATACATACATTTCCTTGCAAATGCCTTGTCATGGCTCTGTTATTCTCTATTGCAGCAAAAACAACAGTTTAGGAAAGCAGGTAGCCGACCGGCCACATGCACTAGCCGATCGGCCAGTTGAAGTGGCTGGCAGGCACTTTTGGTGGCCGACTGGCCACAAGTCTATTTTTGGTGCAAAAATGTTCCGGTTTCCAAGCAGAGGCAGTCTGGAGTTGGCACAATGTTCAGAAAACCAAGGCGAGTATAAACAGAGACAACCGACGGCAAGGCAATGGATTTTCGGGATGTCGCCAACCAAGCATGTATCTCTCCCTCACCTGCAAGGCCATTTAATTACTTTAATTAGCTAGTGTAGCTAATTATTAAGTTCAATTTGGCATGTAATAATTAATTAGCTAAGTTAGTTAATTAGTTGGTTTGTAATAATTAGCTTGGCTTAGTATAGCTTAGTTTATTTATCCGGACCCTCCTTCGAGAGGGCGCAATGTTGTAATAAGTGTGCGTGTGTGTGTGCATGTCTTCCAACCCCGCGTCTTTCTCTCTTTTATTTAACTACTTTCAAAGGTTAGATTAGGGCACGTTTTGATTAGCATACCTTATGCTTGTATGTTTGCATCATTCATTTGTATTGCATGCACCGAGGCTCGGCGCATCATGCAAACTGCATTGCAATTTCAATACACTTTCTTGAATACGTGTTTCAAAGCATGTTATCAAGTGTTGCATTCATATGCCATTTTAGATAGCCGAGCCTATTTAGTTACATTATTGCATGCGTTGCATTAGGCATCTTGTATAGTTAGGATCATATATTGTTTCTAACTAGCTTTTGTTTTGGCTTGGAGTACACTATAAGTTTTAAGCTTTAACATACTTGCATGAGTGTGAGTGTTGCCATATTTGCCATAAGGCTATTTTCTTAAGTGATTAACTGCATGAATGCCTGTGGATGAAGGCTTTATTGCTTGATTTGGGACAATTCATCAAATGTGAGTTTTAAGCCCACTTTGCGAAGTGGCAAATCATGTTTTAAAGCCCACTTGAGGGTGGCATTTTCAAACCATTTTCGAAAAAAAAGAAACATGAGTTATTTTGCCCCAATTCTCGTGATTGAGTCTCTACTTGTATGTTGTGTGCATCACATAGTAAAGCTAACTAATAATCGGAATAAGAACACATGTGTTTATAAAACAACATATCATGTTTAGTAGAGGCCGATCTTTGATCGGGCAAGCAGGGGTGCTCATTTCAAGACCTTCCCTTCTCATACCCAAGTTCCCGAGCTGAGACAACTTTGGTGATGACGGACACGTGGCCTTTGGCACGAGGCAGGGTTTCCTAAATTTTCTAAAATAAAATATTTAGGTGGCGACTCTGTAATCTGGCAAAGCAGTCCATGTTTGGCGTTTTCTGATTCAAAATCGATTTTCTAAAACCAATTGCCAGATTTGGACTCTTTGGTGTTTATCAGTCTCACATTGTACTTTGTGAGATTAGATTCAGAACCGTGACAGAAGTCCGAACTGTAGTAGCCCTCTCCGAAAGGGGGCGCGCAAAGAAAGTCGAGTTCACACTTTGCTCCATAAAATATAATAAAAAATAGATTATTGTATGAACAGTGTCTCAACAAATCAGGTGAGGCACTGTAGTAAAGTCAAAATAAATAAAGGCTATAGAGAGTCTGATGGAACTGATATTCACAGCTTTTGCTCTTTACAATAGCTTCAAAGCCGTTGTAGAGAGGCTGATGCGGATGCTCTAAAGCTATCACGAAGTATCAATTTACTCCTCTCGAAAATGATACAATTAAACCCTTCAATAAATATACTAGTACATGAACTATAAGTTGCGAGAATAATGGTGTTGACATGGTTGCGCTACGTCGCCATTAGATGGAATGACCAATTTGATAATATTCAAATCGTTAATCACGCCACATATCTAATTAGATTAGATGGATAAACTACGTGTAAAGTGAAATGTCAAATTAGATGTGGTTATGATGTTAATTGTTAAATTTCCCCTAAACATTTACTTATTAGTTCGTCTTTGGCGTTTAATTTTTTAATTTTTACTCATTTACTATAAATTTGACTTTGCTAATAGTTAAATTTCACCTAAATATTAAGGCTAAATTTCACTATTTGAAGAGAATGAAATTTCGCTAGTTGAAGACAATAAAATAATTATTATTATCAAGTTTCAATTAAAATATATTAAAATTTTGGTAATTTAATATTTTAGAATTAATTAGACAACAAATTAATTAAAAATTGCTACTGTTTGCATAAATTATCTAATAGATCAGGAATACCACGTATCCATGTGCCCGACTAATAGAATAATGGGTAAATTACACTTTGCACCCCTGTACTTTATACAAAATCTCACTTTAGTCCCTATACATCAAATTGTGACACTTAAACCCCCTGTACTTTTGATCAAGTGTCACATTGGCCCTTCTGTTAATAGTGAGACTAACAAAAATTATCCTTTAGGGAGCTAAGTGTCACAATTTTGATGTATAGGAACTAAAGTGAGATTTTGTGTAAAGTGAAGGGGTGCAAAGTGTAATTTATCCTCACTTATTTTTCATGTGACTAACCTCTGTTAACAATAAGGCTAACAGAAGGGCCAAAGTGACACTTGATCAAAAGTGCAGGGGGTTATGTGTCACAATTTGATATGTAGGGGCTAAAGTAAGATTTGATGTAAAGTGCAGGGGTGCAAAGTGTAATTTACCCTAAAATAATTTACTTTTAGTTTGGATTTTTGAGAGCCCAAAATTTAAAAAATCATTGGTAATGGTGGTAATGATTATGGAGGTGAATGATTGTAGTAGTTGAGGTGGTGGTGGAGAGGTAGTGACAATGATAATGGAATCTATGATGCTGGTAGTGAAATGATGGTATGTTTTATGGTGACGAAGACAATGATAATTAAGATAGTGATAACAGCAATGGTGGCTTGATAATGGTGGTGGTGGTGGTGGTGGTGACAGTGACAGTGACAGTGACGGTGATGATGGTAGCAACAATATTGGTGATAATTGTAGCGATTGTGAGGTTATAATGGTGTATATTGATGCTTGTGTATAAATGCAATAGAAATTCCATATAAATACAATAGAAATTCCATATAAACCAAGTATAATCCAACCTCAAAAAATACAATTCCATACATAACAGAGGATTAAACAAAATTAATATCCAAAAGTTAATCTGTACTATCAAAAACTAATTTATACCACGCCAAAAGGTAATCTGTACCATGCCTAAAAAGTAATGTGTACCACATCAAAAAGTAATTCGTACCGCATCAAAAATTTATCTGTACCACGTCAAAAGCTAAGCTGTACCACGCCATAAAACTAATGTGTACGAACAATACTAATTTGTAGACTAAAAACAATTTCTTTCGTACTTGTCAAAAAAAATCGTATCCACAATTCCATGCCAAAAACCATCTGTACAAATAAAATTAATCATTAGTATTGACTAAATATTGGCATATTTAAAATTACAAAAACAAAAACATATAAAACTCAAATATAATTAATATTTTCAAATAAATCATTAGTTTTGCATACTTGAATTTATATAAAAGAAAAATATGTAAAACTCGCACGCATATTTCAAGCAACAAGTAATAATTGCACATAACAAACCCAAGTTTTAACCACTGAACTAATGGGCCCCTTAAACAAACAAAAAACAAAATTGACCGGTAATATCAAGCCACATATTTTGCAATGCGTGTACGACTATGCCATAGGCATCTAATAAAATGATATATATATATACAAGTTACAAAATATGTGCTCAAATATTTCTTTATTTTCTTTTTTTCTTACAATTAGTCAGGCATAGATGCACAGACATAGCGATTGTCACAATGCGTCCTCAAATACAAGAAGATATGCAAACATTTAATGACAAATAAGTATCAAACCACATTTTTACACTTACCTAGTAACCCTACAGCATCTCCTGCACCTTCATTGACAATAATAACCCTTTTTAAACTTTTAGCATATCTATGAACATCCAGTTGCTCACAATTTGGTTTCCCAGATATTTGAGTTGTTAAGGAAGCCTCTAAAATGTCACTTAGCCATAAAATAGAACCGCTACCACCTGCTACCAAATCAGCATATTTTGCAAGCATTTCCTCTCTATTTATCTAGATGGCCATCTGAATCTGCATTTGCCGTCTGCAATGTGGACCCTGGCACTATGTTGCAATTTAGCTATGAGACTACAAAAGGTTGATCCCTTTTATCTATATTAAGGTAACTGTGGGGACATATTTTGTGAATGACAACACGTAGCCAAGGTGACGCCGAAGTGTCAGCCGAGGTACCACATGGCGTGGTCATGACGCCGAGGTTCTCTTGGATAGGTCGAGGTTATCTGCGGAGATATCAAAATTTAGAGTATTCAGATAGAGGACAAAAGTCTTAGAATAAAGGAGGACCTCAATCTGGATAAAGATAGAGCTCTTAGGGGGTTTATCTTTATCTAGTTGGGAGTCTAAGATGAGCATTAAGCCAAAGTCAATTGAATCTAGGCTTCTACAGGGATCAGGTTAGTGCTGGTTATAAAAGTAAGGCACCTCGTGGGTCTAAGGTATGCTTTTTAAGTTCTGTCCAGTGACTTAAGCACTATTTGTGATCTTTGAGAGATAATTGATTACTAACTTGATCGTCGAAGTGCCTTCGGGTGGACGAACCACAGTCGGATTCTTATCTTTCTGTGGCAGGTTGTTCGGGCTTAATATATTCTGCCGGTGCTCTCTTGCTGAGTTTCCTTGTTTAGTTGTGTGGTCAAAAGTCAACACCCACAATTTGGTGCCGTCTATGGGAACGTAGGGAGAATAGATGGCCAACGACGGGCAGAAAGAGAAAGTCAGGGACGACATCCCTGGTAGTAGTGGCAAGAGCGCTGATCCTAATGTGAAGGAGGAGAACTGTAATGAAGGACCTCAGGATCAGAATCTTGGGAAAAAAGGCGTCGACCAAGAGGGAGATACACTGAAGAAAGCATGTCAAGGCGGGTATTACAATGAAAGAGACCTTTAGGTATGGAAAGATAAATGCTTGAGGAGGGACGGCCAGATGAAGGAAATGGTAAACAAGTTGGCCGACCTACAATCGGTTGTCAACTTCATGATGCATAACAACGTCATACGGCCACTGCTCCCATTGGAGGACACGCCGATTCCAGCAGCCAAGAACGATGCCCAGAAAGGGAGGCAGAAAGTAATCCTAGCAGTCCCTCAGCATGACAAGGTGAAAGAACACTCACATCAGCCTTCACGGGACGTCGAGCGAGCAGAATCAATGAGATGAGAGTCTCAGAGAATGCCTCGAACCAAGGGAACTTACGTGGAGGAACATCGGCATGTTAAGGAGAATGAACTTTATTTTGACACAATGAATGAAGAGAAGTCCGAGAGGACTCATAACGACACCGGGAACAATGCACCAAAAAGGTTGAAATCCGTTGACAACCGAGCTCCTGGTCAGACTATGGAGGATCTAAGGGACTACTACCAAAGGAAGAGGTAGAATGCTGAGGTCACATCCCCCGTCAAGCCAAGGACGTTGTTCTCTGTAGAACTGGATAGGTTTTAGGCCCCGAAAAGGTTTCATATGCCTAGATTCTAGATATATAACGATAAGTCTGATCAGAACTTTTACGTCGACTTACATTTGAACTCAATGGCACTGTATACCGGGAACGAACCGTTGCTTTGCAAGGTGTTCCCCTCATCCTTTGGGGAAATCACATCAGATTGGTTTCACTAGTTGCCGAAACAAACTGTGAAAAGTTGGAAAGGCCTGGCCAAGATGTTTATGGCCAAGTTTGTTACAAACAAACTGCAGCTGTTGAGGGTAGACTCCTTGATGGCTTTGAAAATCAACAAAGGTGAGAGCCTTAGGGCTTATTCCAAAAGGTATTATGAGGTGTTCAACCGAATACCAGGGTGCAATCAGGAGTTAGCGGTCGTATCTTTTAAGAATGGCCTGGAAAATGATTGTATGCTTCGAAAATCACTGGCAAAGACTCTGTCGAAGAGTATGGAGGAGCTCATGGCCAGGATCGAGAAGTATGGGAGAGCGGAAGAGGATACGCCAAGAACAAAGGTGTCAAAACAAGAGAAGAGTAGCAGCTCGCCGAAGCGAGGTCGAGGTAATACAAATTTTAATAAACAATAAACAAGATTGAGGGCTGCACAAGCAGTCACCACAGTGTTTCGGATCCCAGTTTATAAAGTCCTAGAAAGGATTAGGAACCAGCCGTATTATAGAGCACCAGAGAAGATTCTTGGCAAATTTATGGGAAGAAGCCTTAGGACGCATTGTGCCTATCACAATGAAGATGGACACCTAACGCAGGGTTGTAAAGCCTTGAAGGCGCATTTGGAAGATCTGGTCAGACAAGGTCACTTAAGGGACCTAGTAGATGAAGCCCGAACGAGGGAAAAACAGGCAAGGCTACCCCAAGCACCGGTAACACCACCTCCACCAGCACCATAACTAGACAGACCTCGAGTGATCAATGTGATTCACTCGAGGGTTAATGAGAATGAGGTACGTGGGGAGACTTAGAGGGTGAAACACCTACAACATGTGTATCAGGTCCAACAAAAGAGGCCTAGAACAGATGAGTACCAGGGACCAATGGTGTCCTTTACTGAAGCCGACCTAGACATGGTGTAGGATCCACACAACGATACTCTGGTGGTATCCCTCAAGATTGAAGAATGCCAGGTAAGGTGCATTCTAATTGACCAAGGCAGTTCTTGTGACATCATGTATATCAGATATTACAAGGAGCTCGGCCTTCATCGAGATGATTTGGAGCAATCTAATAGCCCAATGGTCGGGTTCAATAGAATGCCGACATGGCCTTTGGGAGCAATAAATTTGGAGGTGTAGGTAGGCACTAAGAAAGTAAGCATAGAGTTCACAGTAATTGACTGGGAAGGCTATGGTTGCATGCAATAAGGGTTATTCCCTAAATACTGCACCAGCTGTTGCAGTTCCCAACAAAGCATGGAATTGAGGAGGTTAGAGGGGATCAAGTGCAGGCAAAGAATTACTCCATGGCAGCCATGAAATCTACCTACAACGTACGAGAAGCAGAAACAGTAGAGATTGAGGATAGGGACATAGAGGTCTTGGATGATGTCGGCAAAGAGCCGGCCGACAAAAGTGAGGAAGCCTTAAAGAAGATCCTGGTCCAACAAGGGAATGAAGAGCACTTCTTCCTTCTCGGCTTAAGTTTGGCCGAGGAGAAAAAGAAAGAATTAGAGTCATTCTTGTGAGCAAACATAGAGGTGTTTGCTTGGACGCCTTACGAGATGCCTGACATTAACCCCGAGGTCACATGCCACAGACTAAATGTAGACGGATTGGCTAAATCTGTCATTTAGCGAGCAAGGAGGCAGATGTTGGTCCATGTAGAGGCAGTCGAAGAAGAAGTGGACAAATTGTTGGAGGCTAGAGCCATTCATGAGGTAAATTATCCCACTTGGTTATCAAACACAGTTGTTGTGAAAAATAAGAATGAGAAGTGGAGGGTCAGCGTGAACTTCACTAGCCTAAATAAGGCTTATCCCAAAGACAGTTTCCCACTCCCCAAGATCGATCAATTAATGGATGCCACTTCAAGGCATGGAAGGATGAGCTTCTTGGATGCTTACAGGGGGTACCATTAGATAGCAATGTACCCCCTGATGAGGAGAAGACTGCATTTATCATCTCAAAAGGGCTGTATTGTTACAAAGTGATGCCTTTCAGGTTGAAAAATACAGGAGCAACCTATCAGAGGTTGGTGACCAAGATGTTCAAACATCTGATTGGCAAAACAGTGAAAGTATATATTGATGACATGGTTGTGAAGACCAAAGAACCTGAGAATCACGTGGCAGACTTAAAGGTAGTTTTTGATATCCTTATAACATATCGGCTCCGATTCAATGCTTCAAAATGTGCATTTGGAGTTGAGTCTGGTAAGTTCCTGGGATACTTGGTTACCAGAAGGGACATTGAGGCAAGCCCAGATCAAATCAAGGCTATCCTGGACTTGAAAAGCCCAATGTCGGCAAAACAAGTGCAGATGCTAACAGGAGGGCCGTAACCTTCAATAGGTTTATAAGCAGAAATTCAAATAAATGAAAACCATTTTTCAGTTTATTAAAGAAGGCCACAGATTTTTTATGGACATAGAAGTGCGAAGTCGCCTTGGTCGACTTGAAGAAGTACCTGACAACAGCTCTAGTTTTGTCAAATCTAGTACCTGGAGAGGAGCTATTCTTATGCTTGGCCGTTTCAGAGCATGTAGTGAGTGCAGTCGTAATCAGAGAAGGGAAGAGAGAACAAATGGCAGTATACTGTGTGAGTAAAACCCTAGCAGGCACAGAGACCAAGTACTTACCCCTGGAAAAGTTAATACTAGC